AAAATGTAATATCTTGATCAAAATTAAAGATAGAATAATAAAATTTAAATATATTATTCATAAAAGGAATATCTTTATTTCTATTCAATAAATAGAGGGTCAAGCTTAAATAAATTTTAAGAAATTTTAAAAAAACTTTTGAAAAATAAAATAAGCAGGCAAATTTGCCTGCTAGACGGTTTAAGGGATACTTGCATATAACTGACAAATTAGTAGTTTTTCCATTCATACTATTATAGACTTCCTTTTTTAAATGAAAAATAGTATTATCTCCATGTGGTTCAGAAGGATCTTGAATAGGCACAGAAAAAATTCTGAAAGCAGGTGCAATTGGCATATCATAAATGGTAGATTTATTTTGTAACATTTGAATTTGCAGAGTTACACTTTGAGAAATTGTAACCTTAATTTAAAGTATGAAATTAAATTACTTATAATCATTGTATTCTTCTAGGTTAAAATGAACTAGAGATGCAGGCAAATCATCTCAATGATTGCCGTAACTTTACCGTAATATGCCGTAATTATCTTTATAATTATCAGTAAGGTTACAGCAATTATTGGGACAATTCGTCTGCACCTCTAGTATAAACAAGTTGGGTTTTATACTTACATTTAACTCATCTTCGAATGCAAAACAACCAATTATCATAGTGATAGTTGTTTTAGTCAATTCTTCAATAAGTAATGATTCTTCTATATAAAAGGCTTTAAATTTATATTTAGCAAATTCATTAGTTGCTGTTTGGTAGACCACAGACCCAGTATAACATTTTCCTGAACTTGAGACAGAAATGTTTTTTATAAAGAAAATAGCGCAAAAAATCAAAGTCATTGTTTTGTTGCAATAAAATTAGTGCTTATTTTATTATTCTTGCTATCACGAAAATTTATATTTTTAAATCTTTTTATTTATCATTATTATTGTTTTACAAATTTGATACAAATTATTTTAGCAAGTCAATAATAATAAAACAATCTTTATAATGTGTTTCAAATTAGTTTGTAAATCAAATTTCCTAAATGCAGGGATTGCTTAAAGCTAAATCCATCACGAAATATTCTGTTGTATAGGCAGATTTTTATCAATTGTGCCCTGAATAGAGCCACTAAATTTGGATTAAACCCCTTATTTAATTTCTTTTGATTGGTCTGATGAATGATTAGGATAATTGTTTTGATTTTTCAAGAGTCTATTCTGCAAAAAGGATTTAATGAATATGCACAAAGTCTATTAGGTTATCTCAAAACCTATTAGATTATTATCTAATTTATTAGTCTGGGTCTAGCGAGACATGCAGTTTGACATAGTTATTGTTATGAAAAATAAACCTTTTATCTTAGTCTTTCAAACAATTATATTGTTAATAACCTGTTCTGCTATAAAAAATTTTTAGGGTACTCTGTTCTTTCTTTTGCATATTGATACAAATCTGCTCATACATTTATGTGAATTAGCCTAATAAAGTAAAAAAAGTAAAAAATGCGAAACAAATGTATAAACCTATCTTGGTAGAATAAAAAAAAATGTCAGAAAGACAATTACACATTGACACCAGGGATCCATAAAAATTATTTGGATTATAAAAAAAATTTGTTTGGGAAATCACAAAAATTTGTATAAATTTGGATTATAATCTTAGCAAAAATTGATATATATAAGGCCATGCCAAGTTAATTAATTGGTTCTCATAACCTGGCTGGGTTAAATTTTGAAAAGTTTTACAAAAAATTTTTTATATGTTTTAATAACCAAATGAGTTTTTAAAAAAAAATTTTAAGAAAATTTTATAAATTTTTATATATAAAATTAAAAAAAAAAGCCTAGCTAGCTAGGTCTATTTAAGAAGTTTCATGTTATAAGAACTGATAAATTAAATTTATGCAGTCTAATATAAGAATCTATAAAAATTATTTGATTTATTTAAAAAATTTTGTTTGAAAAATTAAAGAAACTATTTTTTTTATTAGCTATTAGTATTAAACTTCAAAAAAGCTAATTACAGAATAGTATATTGTTTTAAAAATACCTGAAAATAATATTTATACTTCTGAAATTTACTGCTTCAAAATCAGATCACCTGATTTTTAATAATTTTTGACCAATAAAAATTGAGAATTTTATAAAAAATGATAAAAATTTGTATTTATTTGGGTAATGACAGGCAATTTGGATTTCTTTAGAATTTGGTTATAAATTTAGATTTATTTGGATTTATTTGTTTCCAAATTTTTATGGGTCCCTGTTTGATACTAACCTTAATATTAATTTAAATTTGTGATGGACCTGACTTCAAGCATCCCCTAAATACATATTGACAATTATACAAGATATAATTATTCTATATAATTGCTTATTAATAAGAGTAATTAGTTAGTAAGTAAACTCTTTATAAGTTCAAGAATTGTATTTATACATTTTAACTTTGAAGAAATGCTAAGCTCTTATTAATGATTATCTATCCCAGTCTGAGGCTTATTCACTCTTGCTAAGGGTTGTTGAGAGTTATTCGCTTTTACTGTATTAAAACCATTTTAATTATATATACCTAATTATGAACCCAAATAAGAATATATACAAAATAATATACTAATTTAATATGTAAAAGCATTAAGTTATATAAAAGGTGGGTGCATATTATTTCAGGACCAAATAGATAAACGAAATTCGAATTAACTGCTATTACATGCAAATATGGTATGCTTTAGCATCAAAATTAATTTTCTACGCCAAAATATACAACAAAAGGTTCATAAATAAAAAGTTATCCAAAATACATAATAAAAGGTTTATAAATAAAAAGTTATTTAAAATGCACTAAAATTTGAAAATAAGTAAAAAATATCATTTCAAGTAAGTTCGATTTGTAAAAAAAAATTGTTTATTAATTTTTACTATTGTACCTTATATAGGTTTGACCAATTTGATTTTCTGTTTAACATAACTCCACACCCTCAATTTTTCAAAATTATAAGAACTAATACACATAATATTAAATAACACCTCTCTATTTTTCAAAATCTACATAGATCAATACATATCAAATTAACTAATAAAATTGCAGCATTAAGTTGTATCTAATATTATTGTTTTTTCTTAATTCCTCACACCTCTCTTACAAGTCATCTCATGTTATGTTAAACAAAAAATCAACTTGATATAGCCTAATTAATATATCAGAAGCCCAACCGTTAATCTTGAAAGAACTTAATACTAGAGAACGTGATCTTGAGAAATATACTTTTACAAGGTCTATAAGTTTATATTCTTTAAAACCACAGTAAATTGTAAGATCTCTATATTCCTGGTGAATGTTCAGACAATATTAAAGATTGAACCCGCTTGTATACCAAAACTATAGAGTATCTAAAACAGATCTTTTGAAGGTAACAAGCATTTTGTTTCATCAATTTAAAATGGATAGTTATCTTTAAAATCATTTTTTGTTTAAGATAAATATGAATCTCTTGAATTATATAAAAATAACAAACATTTTAGATTTTAGACAAATAAATGAATAATTATTTACAATATTTTTTCAAACCAGATATAGCGGTTGGCATTTAAATTATAGATTTCAATTTATTTATTTATATTTTTTGTAAACAAGACACAGTTGGGTTAGAATAAATATTTCAGGAGAGGGGTATTTTTTTTTTTTTTTAAATTAGATGTAGCAGTTGGGATGGAATTAAAATTATATATGTAAAGTTTTTTTTTAAATTGGATATATATTTAGATTGCATCCGTTAGCTCCATTCAGGATAGTATCATGAATTTTGACAATAGTAGTTATTGTAATATCCTAATGGTCAAACAGATCAAACCCAAATGCCAAAATTTCAAATATTTTAAATAAAAATCATTTATGCATCTTTTGCTGCAGTAAGGAGACTAGATAATTATTATGCATAATGGTAGGTTGATTTGTTTAGAATTTAGATTTTTGCAAATTAGTCTAAATGTCATCAGCACCTCCAATTTAGGGCTCCATTGAGTTCTATTATCAATACTGAGTTATAGAATTGTACTTGAAAATAATCAATAAATTTTTTAATTTAAAAAAATTGTATAAAACACAAGTGAGTTGTCTTCATAAAAGCCAATTGTCGCGATTGAAAAATAAAATCATCCAATACCATCGCTCAAAATTTAGAATACTTTATTGATACTCTTGACTTTGCTACTCTTGAATCAGATAGAGATTTCCAATACAAAGATACTATAGAAGAAGAGTTTGAGGAAATTAATCAGTTCAATGAAGAAAGTGAAAAAATTGATGAAAATGATCGAATAGCCATAAATAACTTAATTGATAAACTTAGAAGCTGTTGTTTATGTAAAGACAGTTGTATTAAAAAGGTTGTACCAAGCCTTTTATAATCCTTGGTATTAGAAAGTCTTCGAATAAACAAAAATCAAAGACGCTATTCGATGATGATTCTTATAGCTTCTCTTTATAATAAATCTCACGAAAACCAGACCTATGTCAAGGATTATCTACTCTCGTATTTTGGCAGAGTTTGCCATTCTTTCTTTAAAACATTTTGGTTATTTGGTAAAGATGTATTATATAATCTTCATAGTTGGATTCGAGAATATAAATTCATGTTACCCTGACCTCATAGTAATACAAGTCACTCACCCAAGATTACCTTGTCTATTGAGACAGTTAATAAAACAAAATCTTTTATTAATTTAATGAGTGAATGACATGGTGAAGCATTAGCAGTTTGAAAGTATACTTAAAAAAAAACAGATAGGCAGATAATAGTGATCTATGAAAAGCATGATAATGTTTTCCTTCCCTTTTACTATTTCTATAATCATCTTCTGGCTGTATATAACTTGATGAATTCTAATAATTTGATTAAAAGTCACAATACTTTTAAAAAAATATAGAGAAGCGATCCTACACTTAGAAGATCACAATTAGAAAACCTTCCAAAGATATATGTGATGAATATACTTTGTTTAAACAGGCATTAAAGGAAAATAATGATATTAATGAGGATCTTGATATACAATTATCAATACACATAGCCAATTATCACGCAATGAGAGATGTAAATAAAGATGATATACAAACCGCCAAGCATGCGATTGAACCCGATTTTGTACTTTCTCCTTCGATTTTGCCCAAGATGTAGAATTGGCTCATGATTCTCAACAATCTGGAAAGTGGTACTATTTACCGTTGTTAAAAGCATACCAATTTGGTTTGGTAGATGAAGGTATTAATAATCACTAGCACGTAATATATATGGAAGGAAAAGCTTCTAAAGAAGCAAATAAAGTTGTCTCGATTGTGCATCTATTTCTTACTTCTGCCGCAGGTAATGCAAAAAAAAATTGATTATGGGCAAATAATTGCGGTGGACAGAATAAAAATTCTTGTCTTCTTTGGTATCTTCTATGAACCTATCATGCCTAAATATTCGAAGAAATCAAATATCATTTTCAAATTAAAGGTCATACTAGAAATTTAGTTAATTGTGGATTTGGCCTTACAAAACAGGAGTATGCTAGATCAAAAGTTTGGTATATGAATCAATTAGCAGAAGTAATAGAAAAAAGTGCAAGTAACAATATGCCTGTAAATTTGGAGAATCAAATAGAACCATTCTGTGACTGGACTTCAGCACTTGGCAAATTGTATCATAAACCTCGGCTATACAAAAATATCATTTTTTTCTAATTTAATCACAAGAGACCTGGTATAATGAAAGCTAAAGTAAGAATGAATGATTCTTGAGATGAATTTCAATTATTGAAAAAAAATGTTGACGTTGTAACTTTGA